ATCTGATTTGACACACTTGAATCTGAATAATTTTCATGTTATTGAATTGATGGATACAATAAAATAAATAGGCATAAAACATAATCAATTCCTAAAATTTAGGGATTTAGATAAAACTGACTAAGGAAACTAAACTAGAAATTAGGAGAGGATAAACTAGTATATCTAAACTATATCTTATAGAATTATCTTAACACTCCCCCTCAAGCTGGAGCATATATATCATATGCATCTAGCTTGTTACATATATATGTTATCCTAGGACCTCATAAAGATTTAGTAAAGATATTTGCAAGTTGATCCTTGGAGCAAACTGAGGAGGTCTTGATGATACCGGAGAGGATCTTTACTCTGATGAAATGGCAGTCAACCTCTATATGCTTTGTTCTCTCATGAAAAACTGGATTAGAGGAGAGGTATAAAGCTGACTGGTTATCACAAACTAGTTCCATATGACCAACCTTGCAAAACTGCAACTCTTGAATTAAGAATTTTAGCCACAAGAGCTCACATGTGGTGTGAGCCATAGCACGGTATTCTGCTTCTGTACTTGATCGTGCAACAACACTTTGCTTTTTACTCTTCCATGAGACAAGATTACCACCCATGAAGACACAATAGCCTGATGTTGATCGTCTATCACTTGCATCACCTGCCCAATCTGCATCTGAATATCCAACAATGTCTGTATGTCCTCTATCATTGTAAACAAGTCCTTTTCCTGGAGATCTTTTGATGTATCTAAGGATTCGAACAACTGCAAGCCAATGACTCTCACAGGGAGAGTTAAGAAACTGACTTACAACACTCACAGGAAAAGATATATCAGGTCTGGTCATGGTGAGATAATTCAATTTTCCCACTAATCTCCGATATCTCCCTGGGTCAGGATAAGGCTCCCCCTGATTAGGCATAAGCTTCACATTAGGATCCATGGGAGTGTCAACTGGCTTACAATCTGTAAGTCCGGTCTCTTCTAGAATATCAAGGGCATATTTTCTCTGAGAAATAACAATACCGGACTTTGACTGAGCGACCTCAATCCCGAGAAAATAACGTAGGGGACCTAAATCCTTAGTGTTAAAGTGTTTAAATAAGTGTTGCTTCAGAGCCTTGATGCCCTCCTGATCATCACCTGTAATCACAATATCATCTACATAAACAACAAGATAGATAAATCTATGTGTCGATGAGCGTCTAAAGAAGACAGAGTGGTCTGTCTCGCAGCGGATCATTCCAAATTCCTGTATAACTTTGCTAAACCGACCAAACCAAGCACGAGGTGATTGTTTGAGGCCATACAAGGACTTTTGTAATTTACATACAAGACCAGACCCCCCTTGAGCAACAAACCCAGGAGGTTGATCCATATAAATCTCCTCCTCCAAATCACCATGTAAGAAGGCATTTTTGATGTCTAATTGAAACAAAGGCCAATGCCTCATAGCAGCCATAGCTAAGAAGAGACGAACTGAGGCCATCTTCGCAACTGGAGAGAAGGTGTCGCTGTAATCCAAACCATATACTTGCGTGTATCCCTTAGCCACAAGACGAGCTTTCAATCTATCCACCTGTCCATCAGGGCCCACTTTAACATTAAATACCCACCGACAACCAACAACAGATTTTCCAGGCGGAGGTGGGACAAGTACCCAAGTGTGGTTGGAGTCTAAAGCTGTCATCTCATCAATCATTGCTTGTCGCCATCCTGGATGGGTTAAGGCCTCCTGTACTGTCTTGGGAATGGTAATAGAGGAAATAGCAGAGACAAAAGCATAATAGGTAGGAGACAAACGATGATATGAAAGAAAGTTATAAATAGGATGAGGATTACAAGTAGAACGACTACCTTTACGAAGAGCAATGGGCAAGTCAACTGAGGTAGGTGGGGCCGGAGTAGGTGAGGAGACTGAAGCAGGAGTAGAATCACATGGCTCAATTGAAGAATCATTGGGAGGAACAACAGTATGTGATCGACGCTCATAGGTTATCCCAAATCGGTGTAGAGGATGGTCAGACCCTGGTAGTGCGGGAGGATCTGGTGCCTCTAAAGTAGCAGGTGTGGTAGGAGGCACACTATGATCAAAATGAGGAATAGGCAATACCTGAGAGAGGAGATCTGAGTCAACCGGAGAGACATCTGTGGCAATAAAATATGGTGTATCTTCAAAGAAAGTGACATCTGCACTGGTGTAAAATCGATGCGTAGCAGGAGAGTAACAACGGTACCCCTTTTGGACACGGGAGTATCCTAAGAACACACATTTGATGGCCCGAGCAGACAACTTAGCACGTCCTGAGAAAAGATCATGGACAAAACAAGTACAACCAAAGACACGAGGATGAACAGAATAAAGGGGATCCAATGGGTATAATAGGGAATGAGGTACTTGATCATTCAAGACAGACGATGGCATTCGATTTATTAAATACCCTGCAGTGAGGACAGCATCGCCCCACAACTTTGGGGGTGCATTGGCATTCAATAAAAGAGTACGAGCAGTGTCCACAATATGTCTATGTTTTCGCTCAGCTACACCATTTTGTTGAGGTGTATGAGGGCAACTAGATTGATGTAGAATGCCATGGGAAGCCATAAATGATTTGAAGCAATCTGAAAAATATTCTTTAGCATTATCACTTCGTAAAATCCGAATTACTTTGCCAAATTGAGTTTTGATCTCCGAATAGAAACTTAGGAAAATATTGAATAACTCAGAACGATTTTTCATTAAAAATATCCAAGTACATCTAGAAAAATCATCAATAAAGGTGACGTAATACCTATGTCCTAAAAGAGAAGGAACGCGACTAGGACCCCAAACATCAGAATGAATAACATCAAAAGGAGACATAGCTCGACTATTAATACTATTAGGAAAAGAAGCTCTAACATGCTTCCCTAATTGACACGACTCACACTCTAAGGACTCCAACCGTGAGAGATGAGGTACCATTTTCTTTAATTTATTCAAGCTTGGATGACCCAGGCGACGATGAATTAAACCAGGAGACTCAATAGATGCACATATGGTAGAGGTAGAAGGCTGAAGGTAGTAGAGACCATGTGATTCAGATCCGGCTCCAATCGTCTGTCCCGTACTCCGGTCCTGTATCAAGAAAGAATCAGAAGTGAAGGTTATGACACAGTTTAGTGACCGAGTCAACTTACTTATAGAAATCAAATTAAAGGGACATCCAGGAACTAGTAAAACAGATTTTAATGGTAGTGATGGGAGAGGTGATATTTGACCAATACCAGTGGCTTGGACTTTTGACCCATCTGCAAGAGTGATATGATGTGGAGTTTTAGGTGATGATAGGTTACGGAAAAGGGAGACATTACCAGTTAGGTGATCAGAAGCACCGGAGTCCAAAACTCAAGGTCCAATAGACGTAGAATGAGAGAGACAGACTGTAGAATTACTAGTATGAGCTATAGTGATGGAGGAAGGGGCCTGTTTAGTCGCCTTTAGTTGAATATACTCTTTGTAATCATCGGCAGATAATGTGATTGGATGATTGCTCTTGGGTTCAATCTTGACTTCTAGAGCCGAAGTCAGAGATTGAGCCACTTTAGCTGTCTTGCTCGGAAAGCCATGCAAGGAATAACACTTGTCTCGTGTATGCCCATCTCTTTGGCAGTAGGTACAATGGAGGTTTCCTCTACCCCCTTTACCATGAACACGACCTTGACCACGCCCTCGACTTCCATGGTCAGTTGAACTAGGGATAAAAGAAGAGGGTGTGCCATTCTTGGAAATCTCTGCCATGAAGAGAAAAAGGAGAAGAACAGCAAAAAAAACACCTCCAAACAATCCCGAAAGACATCCGAGACAACAACCAAACAGTCTCGAAATTCCGTGGCAGCACCCAAACAACCACGAAAATCCAAGCAGCAACCAAACGACCACCTACAGTGTGACCCACAACATAAAAAGGGTCAAAACAAGAAGAGGGAGGGCCGGCGAGTCTAACGGTGCAAACGGCGTCGCAAACGGAGGCCTGGAGGGCGGCGCGTGGACCCCACGCGCCGACGAGCTTTTCTGACAAAAACTGCGCGTGAGACACCGTTCTGGAGGCAGCTCGCGACGGAAAGGCTGATCGGCGACCTCTGAACACTCAGGCGGCATCAACTCCGACAGTCGCTGACAAAATTTGAAAAACCCTAGATGCCTTGGTGGTGGCTGGGTTAGGGTTTCCAAACCAGGACCAGAATGCTCTGGTACCAACTTGAATCTGAATAATTTTCATGTTATTGAATTGATGGATACAATAAAATAAATAGGCATAAAACATAATCAATCCCTAAAGTTTAGGGATTTAGATAAAACTGACTAAGGAAACTAAACTAGAAATTAGGAGAGGATAAACTAGTATATCTAAACTATATCTTATAGAATTTCTTAACAGACACTATCACGAGTTTGCATCCGAGTCGATTTGTTTTGGGTACCTAAACTCGAGTATAACAACCATTCATGTGACAATACATGCGAATGAACCCTTCCATCTTTCCTCCCTTATTTGTATCCAATTAAGCTCTCTAATTAACTAAATAACTCATTAATATTCTAACTATCCTAACTAACTCCCCCTTTCCCATTGTCCCAACATTGCAGCTCCATTATTCTATAAAAAGTTGAATTTCTACACAAGGTAGGTGGGTTTGTGCATTATCCACTCTTCCAGACTGACTGATGCCTGAGGGGCTCTCTTAGAGATGTAACACAAATTCATTCATGCTTATTCACCTAACATTTTAAGCTAGTGGGATTCTTAGTTATAACGACACAAAAATTTCTGTTTAAAGTATTTGATTATCTTGTTCTATTAGATTCATAAAGTAAGACCTGTTCAAAACTTCAAATATGTTCCTGTTATCAAATACAGTAAATGGAGAATATTAGAAGCTCGTAGAAACACTAAAATGTCAATAGATCTTATGGTATGGCAAATCTTATAATCATAATATTCTTGGTTACAATGTACTGGAGCAGTGCAGGAATTACTGAAGGCTTTTCTATGTGCGGAGGTGACTTTGTTGAAGTCTACAGTGATTCGAGCCAAATTGGTAGGGGAAATTATCTACTGCTATATTTTTTTTAATTGGCAATATTATGTCAGAGGTTCTAAAAGACTAACTAAAAGTATTTAGAGTGTTCCGGTCTATTACTTGTATGTCTGTTTTATGCTTTTGTTGATTCATCATGTGAAAAAAAACAAAACACGGACATTGCAGATTTTGAATTATGGAGTGTTGCTTTGCTACAGTGGTTAGAAAATGAACTTTTACAAATGCTTGAACTTGTAACCTGGATCTGGTTTGATGAAATCTAATAATATATTTTGAACTTTTAATCTATGTTGGCAATATATATATACACTGTTATGGCCACTTTTTAGTGTATGCTGGCCTGAGTTAATCTCTACTGCTTCATATATTTGGTGTTCCAATACTGGATATATTGCTGAAAATACAGAATGTATAATTGGTGCCTACTCTCTGTACAAGACTCCTATTTATAATAGAGAGATAGGCTCATGACTGGTTGTTATAACTGATTTGTTAGTCAGTTATAACAATCTTTAGCAATAACAGAAAACAAGAGTCCTATTTGTTAGGCATTAAATTTTTACATGTAGCAGAGGTAGTATGACACATGGATAACTCGGTTGCTGTTTTGAGATACTGTTCAAAGTTAATTTATCTTGCAAAAACTGAGCTTGACATTATAATTCCTGCTTGGTCATCTATATTTAATTTTATGTACTAAATGTGATGTATAGCACGTTGCCCCTAGCATAATAATTTCTAACGAGAATAAAAATGGCCATGCAGGTGCATGGGATGCAGTTGTGACTTGTTTCTTTATAGATACTGCACATAATGTTGTTGAGTACATCGAAATAATTTCAAAAATTTTGAAAGATGGGGGAGTAAGTTCCTGAATCCATACCTTTAAATAGATATAATGCATCTACTGCTTTCTTTCCTGTCCGTCTGTACCCGGTGCTTGTTTCGATTTTCATTTCAATATTGTATTTCATAGTACATACTGTGTGACATAGATATCCTGACAGGTTTGGATAAATTTGGGACCTTTACTTTATCACTTTGCAGATATGTATGGACAGGAAGATGTAAGACTTCTTTTCTTTCCACTTACTATATCACATCACATGCTTGTTGTGTATTATCGTACTCTGAAATTTGTCTGTAGGAAATGTCCATTGAATTGAGTTTGGAAGATGTTAAAAGGGTAGCATTTCATTATGGATTTGAATTAGAGGTAATCTCTTCTATTTTGGATAATACCCCTTTCTATTTATGCAAGTGAAGTGACTAATCATATTTGCATTTTCTGGTCATGGGTTGCAGAAAGAAAGGATTATTGAGACAACTTACACCACAAATCCTAGATCAATGATGCAAGTAAGCTTCTAACTGCCCACAAGTGCTCATCTGCTTCTTTTTCATTTGTTTGCGCATTCATTTACAGTTCTAGCTTTTCTCAAATCGCTAGCATACTTGTGTCATAAGTTTATAGTTGGTTGTTTTAATTCAGAAATTCCAAACTGCTTTACACAAATATAACTTCTTAATTAAATTGATTATTGAACGTACTAATGCTTTGTGTGTATGCGTGTTTCATAGATTTTGGTCAAACTGTTGAGACCAATAAAGTTTCATTTGGTAGTTTCATATTAATGAACATGTAATGGTTGATTTGGGCGAGATGATCAATTACAACAAACAAAATTCATTATTTTGACATTCTCGTGTTTTATAGCAAATCATTAACGCTGCTGAATCTACTGAAAGCTTTTATTGAATTTACTAAAAGGGTTTATGATCCTCTTTGCAGAATCGTTACTTTGCTGCGTTTTGGACAATGAGAAAAAAATCTGCTGCAGTGCAGCAGCAAGTGCCCTGAGAATGGGAGATTAAATTATAGTGATATAAAGTACAAACTAGCTCTCTTTCACTTGGTCAGGCCTTGTAATTTTCCTTGCTGGAGTGCAGAATTTTCCTGAATTCATGAAATCCTGACAATTTTCCATCATTAGGAGGTTGAATTTGCATTTGGCTTTAAATTCCATATAAATGATTTTGATAATCAGATGCTTGCTAACTATGCTATCTTGGATACTCTACGAGAAAGGTTGAGTGTGGGTTGAAGGTTGAACAGTCCCTTGCAGGACGGAAAAAGCATTATTACGTCTCATGCACGTGATTTTTACTCTTTTGCAGTTTTCTGAGTTTTGAAAGTGCTTGGATGGTGAATTTTAAATGAGGGAATTTTTTTTTTTTTGATGAATGTAAAACGTTGTCGTGAAATATTTATCTGTAGACTGAGAAACTGCAAAGTCAAAAACACGTGCTCAATTTTTCCGGTTTGAGACCAAAATAAATTTCATGTTTCAGTAATGTAAATCATTACTTAATCAACTTTACGTATTTGTAGAAGACGTTAATTATAAAAATTCTCTTGTTCATTCCTTTCATATGGTTTGATGCATGATTCTTGAAATGAATTGATCAAAAAATATTAGTTTAACAAGGTCATCACTTTGTTATCATCAAAATTAGACACATTATCATGTTTGGTTTAACAATCTTTCCATTTTTGTTGATGAAAAACTTGTGACTTGATTTATTGTAAGAAAGAAATATGTTTTGTCATACATTTGTATCACAGATATTACAATAGATATCATACATAACATCATGATATCCGATCATATGCTTATGAAATTCTACTCATACATTTTACATAAAGACTCCCCGCCAAGTCAATACGTCATATAAGAATGATAAGAGTTAGAGTATCAGAGAATAAAAACATGTATCAAAGCATTTCATACGTATAAGAGCATGCAATGTAATCTTAATGTATTGACGAGAGAAAAATGTATCATAGCAAAAAGAATAAACATGAGGGATATTCACAACAAATATAGAGAAGGCACCGATGATTTTTCTTTTTCTTCCCCCCTTTTGTTATCAAAAACAGCAAGATTGATAGAGAATTGCCATCATTGTTCGGGAGGTCAGTTCTTCTTGGTTAATTGTTGGATCATGACAATGAGTTGGTCGAATTTGGAGTCCATCTAAGCTCCAAAGGAATTAGGTTTAGCATCAGCAATTTTTCTAACTTTAAAGCATGGAGTGTAGCTGATACCGAGGGTGTTTCCATGGCAAGAACAACAAAGGTGATAGGTAGGTCGAAAGTGGAGGCTTTTACTAGGGATGAGAATAAGTCAAGTTTGGCCAGACTTTAAAATATTTTAGGTTTATTATATAAAACTAATGTTTAAGTTTGACCTATTATGTATTATAAATTTCTTTTTCTAGGTTCGACTGTTGTTAAAGTCTGACATGACTTATTAGTCTATTTAAAATCTTATTTTGTAATTAGTCTATTTAAAAGTTCATTTTGCATAAATAACATTAAATAAGTCAATAGATTTAATTTTAATTAAGTTATCAATTATATTTTTAATTTGCAAGATGAAAAAAAACTCAATATATTATTATTAAAATTTAGTTTAAAGTAAAAAATAAAAAGTTAATTAAGGGATAATTCATGCATACCCATGTATAATAACGTATACTCACGCTAAAGGAAACTTGCTTTGGAACTGGATTGATGTTGATTCCTCTTCAAGTTCCTCCCTAGACCTTCAGCTCCTTGATTCTCATTAAGCTTTCTAAAGCCTTTAATGGATGAGAAACTTCGGATTCCACCAATGCTTTGGTGTAGAACACTCTTCAAGAGGTGCCAATCCTTGGAGGAGATAAGCCCCTTCAATCCTCACCACACTCTTCTTTGAGAGTATAAGAGAATTGGATGAATATGAAAGAGGTTAGAGACTTTTGAAAGAGAGAATGTTCTGAAAAATTTTTGAACTCACTCAAATATATCATCAAAAGTGATTACAAAGGTAAGAAAAAGGTTTATATAGAGTGGGGGAAACTTATGGTGCAAGCTAGGCTAATTATAGTTCAAGAGAATCATTGTTAGCTTAGCTTGACCGGTCTAGTTGGCTTAGGAACCTTGTGGAGAAAACTTCTAACTTAGAAGCTTAGGAACTAAGTTAGAAGCTTGTAGCACAAGCTTCCCAAGTGTGCAAGACAAGCTAAGCAATTCGGCCAAAGAACCAAGCTAGGCGGCCCACTTGTTTTTCCCATATTTAATCCAATCCAAAAACTTGGAGTTGGTGTAGTTAGGTTCACCAAATGATGGTGAGACCTAGCTAAATCAATTCTTTGGAAAATATGGAGCAAAACAAGCCCAATATGTAAAATTTGGCCTAGGCTTAATTTTGGCCCAATTACTAGCTGTACCTACCCACCTTGCTATTTGTCACCCCACTTCTACTATTGAAAAATAAAAAATGAATGACCCTTAATACAAGGTCAAATGGAGCAAAAGTATCCAAGTAACATACCCTAAATTCCTAAAGGATAACCTAAAATAAAAGAAAGAAAGTGTCTCACAAATACAAAGACAAAATACACCTATACAAGCAACTACTACGTACAAGTATCATACAATGTATATACAATGGAGACTAAGAGACTAATAAGAGGAATCATACTCGATGCTCATGAAGAGCAAAGGTCTAAGAAGCACCTCCTTTGTAGAAGCCTCCTCTAGCCTCCTAACCATGGACCTAGTTAAAGGTCCAATGACCTTCAAGTGTGTAGCTTCCTTGGATGGTCTTCCATCATACCCTCCTTCTTGGAAAGGATCTGTCCTCGGATCTACTTCCTCATCATCAGTGTTAGCATTTCCTGTAAAAGGCATAAGATCACAAACATTAAATGTATTTCTAACACCATAATCAGAAGGTAAATCTAACTTATATGCATTATCATTGATCCTTTGGAGAACTTGGAATGAACCATCTCCTCTTGGAATTAGTTTGGACTTCCTTTGTGTAGGAAATATTTCTTTTCTTAAATAAAGCCAAACTAAGTCTCCTTCCTCAAAAATAAGTTTCTTTTTCCCTTTGTTGTTGTATTCAATATATTTTTAGGGATTCATGTAATCTAGCAACTTCTTTAATGAAGAGTCTTGAGATATGGCTAGCATCATCTACCTTGTGGCATGGAATAAATTGATCTAGTTTTGAAAATCGATCCATTACTACAAAGATAGAATCATGTCCCCTTTGGGTTCTTGGGAGACCAAGTATAAAATCCATACTTATGTTAACCCAAGGGGTGCTAGTTATGGGTAGAGGTGTGTAGAGTCCATGAGGCATAACTTTAGATTTAGCTTGTAAATAAGCTATGCATTTGGAACAATACCTTTGAACATCTACTCTCATGTGTGACCAATAAAATCTTTCTTTTATAAAACTTAGAGTTTTATCAACTCCAAAATGGCCCATGAGACCTCCTTCATGACTTTGCTTAATTAAAAGCTTTCGAATGGATCCTTTGGGTATGCATACCTTACCCATCTTAAATAGATACCCATCACTAATATAGAATCCATCAAAGGCTTTCTTAAGACATTGTTCATAAGTGGATTGAAAATCTAGATCTTGCCTATACAATTCCTTAATGTTATCAAATCTAAGAATTTGGGAACTTAAAGTTGTAAGTAATGTGTATCTTTTAGAAAGTGCATCAGCCACCACATTACTTTTCCCTTTCTTGTATTTAATAACATATGGGAATTGCTCTAAGTATTCTACCCACTTAGCATGCCTTTTGTTTAACTTACCTTGGCCCTTCAAATACTTAAGTGACTCATGATCGGTGTGTATGATAAAATCTTTAGTAACTAAGTAATGTTCCCAAGTTTTGAGGCCCTAATTAGAGCATAAAGCTCTTTATCATAGGTGGGATAATTCAAGGTGGGACCACTAAGTTTTTCACTAAAGTATGCAATGGGGTGGTCACCTTGTAGTAAAACTGCACCTATGTCTATGCCATTTGCATCACATTCTAGCTCAAAAGTTTGAGAAAAGTTTGGAAGAGCTAGAATGAATGCATGTATGAGTTGGTCCTTTAAATTATGAAAAGCCTTTTCTTTCTTCTCCCCCTATAAAAGGCACATCCTTCTTGACCAACTCATTAAGAAGAGATGCAATGGTGGAGAAGTCCTTAACAAACCTCCTATAGAAGCTTGCTAAGCCATGAAAACTCTTAATGTCTCCCACACTCTTAGGGTAGGCCACTCTTGAATGACCTTGACTTTTTCGGGCTCAACCTTAACCATGTCTTTGCCAACTATAAAACCTAAGAAGTTCACATTTTCTTGGCAAAAGCTGCACTTCTCTAAGTTAGCATAGAGATGGTTATCCCTGAGAATGAGTAAGACATCTCTAAGGTGTCCTAAATGGTCCTTAAGGCTTTTACTATAAATAAGAATATCATCAAATTAAATAAACAACTACAAACCTACCTATACAATCCCTTAAGACATGATTCATCAATCTCATAAATGTGCTAGGCGCATTGGTCAAGCCAAAAGACTTGACTAACCACTCTTATAATCCAAACTTGGTCTTAAAAACGATTTTTCATTCATCTCCTTCTTTAATCCTTATTCGGTGATAACCACTCTTAAGATCAATTTTAGAAAATATGAGTGCTCCATGCAACTTATCTAACATGTCATCTAGTCTAGGGATTGGATGCCTATATTTTACATTAATATTATTAACGCCTCTACAAGACAAGGGCTTAGGCTCTTTTGAACCCATCTCTTCTTCCACAAATTTTCAACTTGGGTCTCAATTTTCATTGGGATAATTGATTACCAAAGGAGATAATCGATTACCACATAATGAAATACAATTCTGGGTTCTGAGAAGCTCGATATAATAGATTACCAAGTCCGATAATTGATTACCCCGACACTTTACGTTCAAAATTTAGTTTTTAGATGAACTGGTAATCAATTACCATATCAGGTAATAGATTACTTGCGTTATGACTCTTTATAACTGAATTACGTCTTGCACTTTAAATACCTATATTTTATGATATTAATAGAGAACCATTTTGAAAAACAACATTAGAGAAAAATAATACTTTCAGAAACAAGAATCAAAGGTTGATCAAAGAAACATTTTCTAAAATACTAAGAACTGCAAATAATGAACATGTGTTCTTGAAGGAAGAAATTCAAGAAGCGAATTCAATTATGAAAGATCAATGTCTACACAAATTAGGTGATATCTTTATGATCTTTTAAACTGTATTTTCGTTTTGTATGGTATATCTCTTGAGATAAGGTGTCTCAATATCGGAACCCAAAAAATTCTGATCTTGCCCATAGATGGTTTGAACTTCTGTTTTGAAAATCTCATTGGTTAAGAGATGTCTGGACACCATACTAATCCCTTATCAATGGTTTTAGAAAA